AAAAAAAAAAAAAACAAAAAAAGAATACAGGATGATTGTACTTATACTTCAGCACACTGTACAAGATCTGTATTTCCCAGTGCATTCTGGGACCTCCATCCGAGTGGTTCTTTCAAAGCAGGCACTACTGAAAGGCAACCAGGTTTTCATGAGGCAGCAGGAGGTAGGTATAGGCACTTCATCCTTATCCCTTCCAACGAGGAACAACACATCATTGACTTCACACGATCTACAACTTGATTGAAGCTCCTATGGCACTGACTTCAATATCCTTGTTCATAAAAATACTAAATCCTTTAATGAAACACACAGAATAAAGCTAATGTGATTTATGTCACCCATCACCCAGTGGGCTGATGCTTTGTAGTGATCTTGATTAAAGGAAGATTATGAAATAGCAGCAACCCTCCCTCATTTGCATTTAGTTCAAAGGAAATGGCCCAAACAAAACTAAATAGGCATTTAAGTACAAGAAAAAGATTTTTTCTTTTCATTAAGCATGAACATGAAACAACTTGCCAATAATTTGCACAACATTATTTTAGGACTAAAAAGCAAATTTGGCATGAAAAAAATTCCAAACTGATCATGTTAATTACGTTCCCTCTGAGAAAGGAAATTTAATAATCTCCATCTCCAATGCATCAGTCTCAAACTTGGTACTTTAAATTGTTCCCATTTTAAAGTGTTGAGAGGTAAATATTTTAAACACATGTGAGGGATTTTATTTGCCCCTTGGAAAAAAAAAGAAGAAAGTAGCATTCATGTATTACCCTATGATTTTTGTTTTACCATTATCATCATTTCATAGCTAAGGAATCAAGCAGTTCACAACTGGGATCTGAATTGTTCGACACAGTGTCCCTAGAAGTAGTGGCCGGCACAAAGCAGGTGCTCCTCGACTGTTAGAAGAAAGAAAGAGAAGTAACAAAGCCTAGCACTGTAGCCTATGATTTGAAAAGAAAGCAAAACAGCCACACTCCAGCCTCAGTGTCGGTATCTATTTATATTGTGTGAACTTTGCGCGATGAAGCTTCTGCTAACTTTAAGAGAGGCATGTGTGCTGTAGAAGCCAGGGGAGTCCAGGTAGGGTATACTGTGGTGTGCATACCGATTCCTGCACAGAGGATGACCCTTGGTGCCCAGAGGAATGCCTATGTATGTACAAAAGCTTCCATCACAACAGCTTTCTTGTCATTCTTTGTCTGCTGAAATTGCAAATGACTTTGATTGAAATTATACATTGGTAGTTGTCTTAGTTACTTTTTTCATTGCTGAGACAAAATACCCAACACCCAAAGTTAAAGAAGGAAAGGTTTATTTAGCTCACAGTCTGTAAAAGTTTCAGGCCATAGTTGGCTGGCTCCACGGCAGAGTAGGACAGAGCAGAGAGGCATCACAGAGGAGAAAAACAGTTCATTGCAGGCAAAGCTAGCAAAAGCAGCAGGGGACTTTAACTGCTTCTTTCTTGTCCCTTTTATCTTATCCAGATTTCTTAGGGTGGGTAGCACTCATACCCTTAATCCTAGTGCCCTTGAGCGTAGCATTGCACCCTGAATCAATCACAGCACCACACCCTATGGATCCAGCTACCTCTGACGAAGCTCGATCACATGAGGCTTTGGGAGGACATCTAAACACAAGCCGTAACAGTAGTAATCAGCGGAAAAATGGTGATGAGATGCGTCAATACTATTTATGGGTTACTAATATAATCAAATTAAAGATCTTTTATATTCAGTGAAGCCTATCTAATAATGCAATAGCAGACATTCCAAATAAAGGGCTTTTATAAAGAGTCACTTTAAATGATTTTATACCAATCTCAAATGGTTCCTGAAATTTCATTATGCAATTGACATTAACCTGTCATTTTGCTATGCACTGGCAGGCACGTGCTAATTGATAATATTGTACTCTCAAAGCACAATGTTAAAATACAATCACACAGCCCAAAATGTTTCAATAAGTAGGAAACGTGTGCTCCGTTGTTCGATAATGGCTCTGCAGCCTCAGGAGCAGAAGGCCTTTGTTTGTTCTTTGTCTTGTCTTCTCCTGGAGATAATTAGCTTCTCAGCAGCTTGGCAAGGCTGCCTGGGGTATGCATTCTTCCAACAGTGAGAACACTGAGCCATATGAAGTTCAACCGTTTTCCTATGGCTCGCGGAAGCAGGAGGAGAATGTTTTATCCCTCGACTCCCAAATTTTTGTGGTCATCTGGGAACCATTGTATTTTAATATTTCGTAAGAGGAGGGTGGTGAGGTTTCTCTGAGGATGTAGAGGGATGGTGCCCAGGAGACAGTAGGGTGGAGTTGGTGGAAGAATAAAGGCTGTTTAGGTTCCGTGGTTCTTCTTTACTAGCTGTGGGAGTTCTCAGAAAATCCAACACAGATTGTGTGCCTTGTATTAACTCATGAAGGGCATTTCCCACTCAATGCTAGGCAGGCTCAGTCTGCTTATGAGAAGGCTGAGAGGGGCTGGGGTGGAGGTAGAGATGTGTGCTCTGCCTGGTGCTCACACAAGAAGGACACACTTGACAGTCACAACTGGCTCCCTGTGTCACTGGAGACCGAGGGGTATGGCTGAGTGTGTGTGCTGAGGGAGAGGAAGGCGGTATGTAAAGAGAAAGGAGAGTGTGTGTCTGTCCTGGGACAGGCACACTGGCATCACTGCGGACTCAGAGGAAGGGGTACAGCTGGGCAGTTGGAAGGTTTGATGAAGGCAGTGCATGCTATTTAACAAATTCTCTCAGACTTTGTGGATCTATGTGGGCTGGCTTCATCTTCTCTTGTTCTTTCTGATTAGCAATATGTACTCAATAAAGGGAATTCAGCATCTTGACTTTATACTCTATTGGTGGCTATTTTAAAGAGAGACTTTTCATTCTACTGTAAGGGAAGTGGGAGTCCCCCAAGATGTCTTTAAATCACACCATTCCCTTATTATAAGGCACAAGGAGAAATGGGGGAATCCTAGCATTTACCCCTAATATTGCTCTGAGATTTGCTACCCATGTGAATCTAGGCTGGGAAGCAGGACAACAGGAGTGATTAAAAACTCTCATGGCAGAAAGGAAGTTGCAAGGGCTCAAGATGAACCAGGATCAGCTTTTTCTGCAGGGAACACTGGTTAGTAACAAAACAGTCAGTGTGGCTCAGCACTTTCATGATGAGCTGCACAGCACAGAGGGATCGCTCACATGAAAACTAGTAAACTCCACAAAGTACGTGATGTCTAAAACCTCCATGTGGTCAAACGCACATACGCAAGTCACGTGTGCCGTTTAGATGCTCAGGGACTAAGGGGCACTGGGGTGTGAGTCCCCTTCCTGGTTCTAGGAGGATGGATTTTCTTCCCATTGGTAAGACCTTGACCGAATTCCTTCCCCTCTATAAACATTCATTAAAACTGTGAGTTGCAATCTGTAAGTTCTTCCCTGCTCCTAAGGTCCTACTATTGGTGGGGAATCAAGAGCACAGCTAGTCCAAATCACCAAAGTTTGGTGAGTCAGGAAGCATCAGTTGTCTGCATATTTCAGATGATCTTCTGCTGGTGGAAGAAGGGGCAGGTGAGCAAAGTTTCCAAGTGAGGGTTACTCCTTTTGTTGGTAAGTGAATCCTGTAAAAGCTACCTCTGATGAACCAGTTCCTTGCGTAGAAAAGTGTTCATGACAGTGGGCACTCAGGAGCTTCCCAGAGTGCAAAGAAAAGCCCAGATACCTCAGAGGCCTGTGAAGGGTCACAGCTCTCTCTTGTCACAGCCCTTTCCCCTGCACCGAGGAAGGAGGAGGCCAGGGGAGCCGCTGGCCCCAGCTTGCACTTCTCTTGGGTGTGCATTTTGGCAAGAGTCCAAATGGGATCGATGCAGACTCTCTGAGGAAACTGACAAATGGCTCTGTAGGGAGGATGGAATCTAAGGAAATGACTTTTCTTCCCCTCTGGTACCTTGGGAGCGAGGCTTGAATTACTTTTCTGACTTGATTCACGGCTCCGGAGAAGCTGAGTAAAGGACTCTGTCTAAATATTTGTTTGATGTCCTTAGAACCATGGAAAGACTGTAAGGTGTGACCTAGAGCCAGAGATTCATTCTCTTCTCATTGCAGTGCACATCTGTCATTAAAGAGGACTCCGCACAGGGTCCATTTGCAGGTGGAAGTGCCCTGTCCTCTCTGTCAAACCTATAGCACTCTCTGCGGCCAGCTCATGGGGGTCTTATATGTCATATATACACTCCTCTTTCTCATTTCTTCCTTTAAGAAAAACTCATACATCCAACCCTTCACACTGAGGGGATGCTCCTCTGCTTTGAAAAGCGGAGAGCTCACAACCCTGTTCTCCCACGCAGCATAACCCGGACCAGTATCATCTGTCACAGTGCCGGAGACAAACTGCCGGTGTTTGGTAAACAATCTGTGGCTGCTGCGCACTGAAGTTATCGGAGGAGAAACTCAAGCCCCTGGTGGACAGACGAGCATGAGCGGAAGTCCCAGACCAGCTTCGGGAGATCTGGCTTCAAACCTGCTCCGCTGTGAGGAAACAGCGCCCCTTTCTGTCCTTCAGCCTTGGTTTCCATAACGCGGTATTATTCTAGATGTAACAGATTTTCTGGGGAGACAGAAAAGGAATTTATAATGCAAAAAACCAATTATAAACTGAAAAATCCAGTTATAAACCTTTTGTTATTCACTTAGATTCTCACAGTCTTTATTTGATACTCTGATTGTACTGGATTAATCATGGTATTTAATTTTCTTTTCTGTGCTTTACGATGCTTTGCTATTTTGGAGCCTTGTGAAACTAGGAAGGGACCATGCCTTTCCGGGTTAGCTGACTGCCTGTTGGAGCCCATTGGCATGCAAATGGGCCCAGACCCTGAATTGGTGGAGGGCCCCTTGGAGGAAGCAAGCTCTCTTCTGTAGGTGTGGTGTTTTTTTAAAGTTTCCTCCACTCCAAGCGTTTAATGCTCAGCCAAGATGGAGACTCATTGTGGGTCACCTGTCAAGTTTTCTCCAGCTCTAAGATATTATAGTAGATAAATCCTATGGGACCATCTTCTCTCTCTCTCTCTCTCTCTCTCTCTCTCTCTCTCTGTGTGTGTGTGTGTGTGTGTGTGTGTGTGTGTGTGAGGGCAGAGAGATATTTGAGAAAGACAAATTAGGTTTGGACAGCTCCAGAATATTAGATCATGTGAACCTCTCCCTGTCAGTGTGAAAGGCATACATTTACCTTGTAGGATGAAGGGAGAAGGGGTTCATCTTCCTAGAGTCAGAGCTGATTAGAAAACTGTCTCACTCACTAAGTGAGGATGGCAATGTACAATAATGTGGCTTTGGTTTTGCGTTTGGGCCCTGAGCTTTTTGAGGGAAGAATCAGCTTTGGTGATATATAATTCAGCATCTTGTATCTGGCCCTGGAGCCTGCCAGGGTACTTCATATAATGATTTTACTCATGAGGGAAAAATTAATTGCCTCTTCCTCACCAGTTGCCAAGTGCTACAGCTTCATTGGAAAAAGCCAGAATTCCCCTTAGGAGACCCAGTTTTCAAGTTAATATACAGTAATGCTGTACATGGCTTTATTAATCTGGAGGCAGGGTGGATCTGGAAGTAGGAATCAGTCGGCTGGAGAACTGGCTCTTGTCCGGCCACTCTGTGTCCTGCTGCATGATACAGGCAATGCTCTTCCCCTCTTTGTCATATTCTCTCCTTAAATACAGAACTGGAGTAGTCACATGTAGCTCTTGGGCACACACAATAAAATCAAGTGATTAGTATCTCTGGAGAGATTTTAGTTCATTGAAGAGAATTGTCATAAAACACACACACACACACACACACACACACACACACACATACACATACTTTGTATGTACATAATCAGTCTAATAAAGAGAGAAAGTGTAACCCAAAAATGTGCAATTCTACTCCATCCATTATTCTTAGAATCAAAACCACCTGTCTTCCAAAAGAGCTGCTGTGAAAGTTACTATTAATGTTCCTGACGGCTTGCAATTGGCGAAGGACCCTGCATTTCCTGTAGCCAGTACACAAGAACCCCGTTCATTCCACGGGAATGACCCCAGTGGGGGTCTGTGAAGACTTCGTACATGCTTTCAAATGGCCTCTGTCAAATCCCTGTTGGGTATTCCTTCCCCTACTAATCGCTGTGGTGTTTAATTGTTAAAGCCATGTGCATCTCAAGGGAAATTGAACCCATATGTTTCTGAGTCATTTGCACTGAGCTCATCAAATTGTTGTTTTATAAGAGCTGTTTGCTGTCCAGCGAGAATCCCCCAGTGCCTCTTCATACACCGCTCCATACTTTTCAACATCTTTAAGACAGGAAGCTACACTTGGCCTGACAAAAGCCACTATCCATCCTACAACGGTCTCCTCCTCCTCCACCGTAACTTTTCCAGTTATGAAGGCTGGCCTTCTTGAGTGGGAGCCAGACAGGAAAATACCTTATGGGAGGCCTTCCCAAAGCATCTTACAGAGGAACTTCACCGGAAAGATTGAATTAAAATTAAACAAGTCTTCCATTGATTTTACAAGACCTTAAAGAAGAAAATATATCAAGATGCAAAGTTTTCCGAGATTCATTCATTCAGCAAATATTTAGGAGGACCTACTGTGTACCAAGTCATACTTTTAGTTTCTGGGTGTGTATTGCCGTGACAAGATAGCTTATTTTCATGAAGAGTGTATTCTGTAGGGGATTTCCTAAGCATATTTCTATCGTGGAGACATGCATTTTCCAATCACTCCCTGGAAAATACTTGTTCATGGAGATAGAAAATATAAACCCAACTGATCTGAATACCTGAGCACATATGCAGATTAGAAATTCTGTTGCTCATCGGCAGTTCTTGTTTGAGGATGTGTTTGGATTAGGATGTATTGGGAGGAGAGAGAGAGAGAGGGAGGGAGTGAAAGAGGGAGAGAGAGACAGAGAGAGAGAGACAGAGAAGGAGACAGAGAATATTAAATAAAAGCTATTTAAGGTTGGGTTCTGAGGGCTGTTGTGAAGAAATTAGAGCAGGGTAGAGGTGAGTGGAATGTGTGAGTTTTTGATTGGAGTGAGGAGAGCAAAATTCAAGAAGAAATAACCAAGTAAGACAGAAACTTTCTAAAACAGGAATGAGAATGTCATTCTATTAGTAAATTTGTTTTTGCAGCATGACAAGTAAAAACAGTTTAGCCTCAAAAACTGGCGTGAGAGGCGACAGAGAAATGGGAAAACACTGAGAGTAGTTCGACCTCAAATGCAGAAGGGATCGTTTCAAGTTGCTTGCACAGAACGCCAGGTCAGGCAGGATGAGGCCAGTTGCCTGCTGGGAGAAACAGGAGACGATATTATTCTTTCGGTCAGGTTTTGCTATGGTTTTCCTGATTCCTGATATGGAAATTAGAGTGTTACTAGGATCTACATAAGTGTGCAGATACACAACGTATGTATCATAGAGGATGTTTTGTTTCATTTTGTTCTACTGTATTTGAGACAGAGTCTTGTTATGCAAGACTCTGTTATGTTGGCCTCAAATTTGTGATCCTCCTGTCTCAGCCTCTTAAGAGCTGTGACTACTGGCTTCGAGCACATCTTTTTGTTTGTCTGTTTTTCTATTCCTAACTGGGAATGATTTTCAGAATCCTAACTGGGAATGATTTTCAGAATCATTCCCAGTTAGGGACTGCTTCTCCATTATGTTGTTTCACTAACGACCTGGGCAGCTCAGGGTCCGTTGTTTCCCTGTGCCAGTGATTGGTTCCGAGATAGCAAGCCAAGTGCAAGTTGGACAATCAGACCAGTTCAGAAAGCTGTTTGTCTCTTTTGGCTAAAGGCCAGGACTGAGTGACCTAATGTGACTGATGTCAATCTCTGCAAGAACCAGGGGATAATTTAACCCTGGAATCCAGTCTTGCTTAAAGCCAGAACTGCTGCAGGACTTCTCAGTTATCACTGCCAAGCAATTATCTTGACACTTCGACCATAAAAACCCTAATGAAGTGTTTTTTAATTAGATTGCTCTGTGCATAGAACTCACTTCACAGGTTGGGCAAATTCTGTTTTCTGTTTATTTATGTAATTCCAGGGGGAGCTCTCTTGGGTAGTGCTAAAGTCACCTGTAATGAGATGGAGCCTAGAACCCCATCTGGGGAGATCTGGAAAGTAGCAGTCCTTCCAGAATCTTCCTTGAATACAACCTGCCCCCATTTGAGAATGTGCTGCCTTATAAGTTTAATTGCACTGTTGTGGAGGTCTCAATCTCCTGAATTGATTCAAAATGTCTACCTTCCATGGTCATATTTTTTTGTATTTTTTTACTAGTGCATGTCTATGATACATAATGAATAAATCCTTGTAGTGAGTTTGCACACATACTACATCATAAACCTGTTTAATCCCTCTTTCCCTCTCTCTCCTTTCCTAGATCCCCTCCCCATCTGCATAAGGTCTACCTTCCTGTGCCTTATCATGTGTCCATTATTTTTCTTTTTAAAGTATTTATATGGTGGGTTTCTCATATGGAAGAAACCATATGATATTTGGCTTTATGTGTCTGATTTATTTCACTTAGCATTTTAGTTTTAAATATAGCCATTTTCCTACAATGATTCAAATTTATCCATCTTTATGGCTGAGTAGTACTCCACTACGTATAAATACCACATTTCTTGATCCATTCATGTGTTAATGAACACATAGGTCACTTCCAACATTTAGCTGTTTAGCTGCTATAAACATGGCATGCACGTATCAGTGTAATAGCATACCTTTAACTCTTTAGGAAAGATACCCAGAAAGCATATAGCTGGGTCAAATGGAATTTCTGGTTTTAGTTTTTTGAGGAATCTCCATGCTGATTTCTATAGTGGTTGCACTAGTTTACATTCTCATCAAAGAGGTGGAAACTTTCCTTTTCCCCCAGCACTTAAACAGTATTTGTTGTTTTTTGAGTTCTTGATGATAGACGTTCTTTCTGGAATAGGATGGAATCTCAGTGTTGTTTTGATTTGTTTTTTCTAATGGACAAAAATGGGGAACATGTTTTTCATACTTATTATTCATTTCAATTTCATTTCTATTGGGGGTGTCTTTTTTTTTAGTGTTTTATATTTAAGCTACTAGTTAGTTGTCTGGGGAGTAGCTGGCATGATCATTTTGACTTGGGGGAAGAGCCAGAAGTTGCACAGTGCCAGTTCTGGTGAATAAGGAAGATAAAGACACACTGTAACATGTATGTGCAACCCTGTCCTTTCTTGGGTCCCACTCAGGAGCAGCTTTCAGTGAATCTTTGATCACACCTTGTAAAGACACTGAGGAAAGAGAACTTCTACAATTGCTTCAGAAAGTGGCAAGAACAATGGGGTGAGTGTGCTCAAAGTGCGGGAAGCATTTTGACTGGATTAAAGGCAATATGTCCTTTACTGGAATAAATTTTTTAAATTTAAATATTCACGCTGTATTTTGATCACTCTTTTTGACCACTCTTTATACGTTTGCCAGTATTAGTAAAATAGTGAAAAGATAAATTAACTATCTGTGGACATAATCTTCACTATGATAAAATGTAATAATGCTTTCTTCTGATTATTAAAACTGAGACATTTAAATCAGCAGATAATTCCAAGTAAGAGCTTTTAGTGTTGGTAACCTGCAGTTGGCTGATGCTGGGACAAAGGAGTCCTGTCTCCTAGAAAGCTATGCTAATCCTCTAGAGCAGTGGTGGGGAACATCCGGCATGCTTTGTATCATTGAAAGCTTTACAATTAGTTTGGCATCACTTCTGTAGAAGATCTCAACATACTTCCCATTGATTGTGACCTCTAATTTCACCCTATCTTGGGCTCTTTGGATCATTTAAAATCTTCTCATTGCTCCTCACCCTCATTACATTTTTTTTTTGCACAAAGATTTATTTTCATTTAATCTCAAAATAACACTGTGTAAAGACTCCATTGTAATACCTCTAGATTTTACGTTGAATGACTGACAAAAATGATTGAAGTGCATTTTAAAATTGGAAAAGAACCCTAAAATTTCCTGGCAGGCCTTCTGTGGGGCTGTTTCTTGTTAGTGGGTCCTGAAGGTGGACTAGAGTCAGCCAGAACAGAGAGCCCATGGAGGCAGCTCTCTGGAGTCCTCTGCCAGTGTTGCCAAGTGATCTAGAAGACAAGAAATTCTAAATCTTCACTATTTAATTGATCTTTGTTAAATGTAATTACAGTAAGTTTATCCTTGGCTTTTTAGTTTGTTTGTTTGTTTGTTGGAGATAAGATCTTGTTACCTGAATATAGCTGGCCTTGAACTCAGGCTCCTGAATGCTGGGATTTCAGGTGTAAGCCGTCTGTACTTGGCATCTAGAGAAAGATGTGACATTAATCCAAATGTTTAACCATAAGGAAAAGGACTTAGTCTGTTTGGAGTCACCATTTTATACACATCGTGGTACACAGTGGCCACTCAGTAATTTTGTTGACTAATGACTAAATGGTTGAATAAATGAACAGATAATCATGTATTTGAAGTAGTCATTGACTTAGTTTCCAAAACTTAACAGTAAAGCCTAGGTGAAAGATCCTTGTCAAACACTGGCTCTTTTTCCACACAGATTCAGTTTTCTTCCACTTAACAACTGAAAATGGGAGTTCACTTTCTCACATCTGTCCATGCAATAATGACAGCTGCCTCGTCAGTATTGAGTATCTCAACAACCCCCTGGAATACTAACTTCTGTCAGGTTAGGAAAGAAATAACATAGGTGACTTCTATGTTGGGATTCTTACAGTCTAAAACAATCAGGGGAGCATCCAACATAAAACAGTTATGTGTGTAGAATGTAGATCATAGGAGAAAGGCACGACTAAAGTTCATTGTTCAGGTAAATCATCAACAAAGAGTTTCAAGCCTTGTACTAAGTGCCTGAGACACAAAGTTAAAAGTACAAAGCACCCAGGGGGAAGTTCACAATCTGAAGAAAAAAGGGACATGTCGGCCATTATAGGGTGGTGTATATGACTTCAGCCATACAGTCTGCCCATGTTAACATGGGTCTGTAAGGTAATTTACCACATTGCAGGACAAATTTAATAAAGGCAAGAGCTGACATATTTAAGGTGCATATTTTTGGCGGTAAATATATGAAAGTTTTACAACCTTCCCGTTCTTGATTTGTACAGTTCAGTGGCATTAAGTACATTCACATTATTGTATAACTATCACTATCATCTATCTTCTGAACTGTTTTCATCTTGCAAAACTGAAACTCTGAACTCATTAAGCAGTTATTCCTCATTTTCTAGCATTGTGCTCCCCTACCCTAATCCCTGGTAACCACCCTCTTATTCTCTGTCTCTATGGATTTGACTACTCTAAGAACCTCATAAAGGGGTGCTGTCATTTGAATGTCCTCACCAAAGCTCATGTTCAAATTTAACCCTCACTGTGAGGTATTACCAGGTAGGGTAATGAAAGGTGTGCTGTCATTAATGGATCAGTGGATTCATGAGTTATCAAGGGAGTGGGTTTGCTAAGCAAGTGAGCTCTTTCTGACGAGTTTGCTCCATGTGATATTCATCATGGAATGTTCTCTGCCAACATGGGACTCTGCAGAGAGTCCCTATGACAAGAAGGATCTCACCAGATGCAGCCCATTGATCTTGAATCCCCCAGTCTCCAAAGCCATGAGCTGAATAAACCTTTATTCTTTATAAAATTGCCTAATGTTTGGCATTCAGTTATAGCAACAGAAAGTAGATTAACTCAAGGGGAAAATCATGCAGTACTTGTCCTTTTGTGGCTGGCTTATTTCATGTGGCATGATACCTCCTAAGTTCATCCATATGGTAGCATGTATCAGAATTTGCTTTCTTTACAAGGCTGAATGATATCCTGTTTTACTCATACGCCACATTTTGTTCATTCATTCATCCGCCAGTAGGCATTTGGAGAGCTTCCATTTTTTTGACAGTTAACTAATGCTGTTAGGAACATGGGCTGAAGTTTGAATTGAATCTCAAAGAGTAAGGAGAACCTCACAAGTAGCAAGGTAGAGAGGGCACTATTGGGCAGTGTGGTCAAGCAAAGCATGTTTCAGGAACTTTGGGTGCTCTGTTCTACTTGGGGGATTTTGAGCTTGTAGAAAAATGATAGGAGATGAAGTTGGAGCCATAAGCAAGTCTCCATAGACATAAGCAAGTTAGATCATTAGTTGAGTTTTGAATTTTATTCAACAACCCATGGGAGGAAATATGGACATAGTTTGGAGGATAGAATTCATATTTCACTCTATAACTAGTCTGAGGACCAAGCAACTGAAAACTAATACAAAGGAAAGTAGTCCACTTGTTAACATGTTATGGTAGACAGTCTCCAAGAAAGTCCCCAGCGATCCTTGTAACTGATACTTTTCTTACATCTGACTTGCGCAACAAATATCAGCCACATTGTTATTATGAAAATATCAATATGAGACTTTTAATTTTGTCATAGAAGATGTGGCTTTAATTTTTTTCTCTCTTATGGACTCTGGAAGAATCCAGCTTCCATGTGTCAAGAAACTCAAGAGGCCTTATGGAGAGGTCTGCAAGGCAAGGAGCTGTAGACTTCTGCCAGCCCTAGATGAGCAAGCACGTGGAGGAATAAACCCACCAGTTGTAAATAGTTCCTCAGAGAAATATGTCTTGATAACAAGACATACTGAGCCACACCACCTACTGAGCTGCTCCAGAATTTCTGACTCATAGAAACTATGTGAGAGAATAAATGTTTGTTATTATACACTACCAAGTGTTGGAAAAGTGTATCACAAAGTATTGGGCAACAAGTATATATGACAGTCTGTGCCCCAACCAAACTTGTCTTCTCTTTGTGCCCTGGACATAGTCTGGACTTTCTCTCCTTTTCTCCATGTTTTCTCACATGCTCTTCTCATCTCTTGTAATTTTATCTCTTATGAAAATTTTGCTTCTGCTTCCGAGAACTGGACAAAATTGACCTCCCTATGAAGCTATTCCTTATTTTCTGCAGCTAAATGTACTCTACATTTGAGGTGGGTCTTGGGCAGTTTTTGTTACACCAATGATCAAACCAAGGAAACTGGGAACCAGACCCTTAATAAAAAATGCAAAATTAAATCAAGATTTTGGAGGAGGTGTATGCTAATTCCTGACACATGATGCACAATCTTAGAAAAGATAATCGGTATACCGGGCAACATGCTACCACTTCCTTGATCTATTTCCCACTCAGTGAATATTACAGACTCCTGGATTCTGCTATGAACAGTCCATGGGTGTGGCTTGGATAGCTCAGATCTCTCCTGGAGCAGCTCATTTTGTTCCTCTGCCCTAATTTCAACAGGAGGAACAAAGCCAAGCAAGCACAGGCAACACCCAGCTCTTAATGCACAAGCCCTAATTTATAACTGTGGCCAGAGAAAAGAGCACAGAGTCCCGTTCTCTCCAGCCTTAGCTGCTCGGCAGGATGTCCTTCGGTGGACACGGCTGCTGGTGGATGAGGAGCATCAACTCCCGCAGCTTCAGGCGGACTATGCTAAGTGTTGCATTGGGAGGGGAGAGGCATGATGACTGGAAACAACCTGATGGCCTTGGGCAGAGAAAGGACAACACAGCAGCCCCCAGATATGGCTATGACCTCAACACTCTGTAGACTTTTTGTCCCCTCTCTATGAGTAAATGCAGAGCATCTGCTGGGCCACTGATCTATATCCCCAAGTCATTCCATTATAGATATGGGATCATTTCTAATTGTTTAATTTTCTCGTGGTGCCCAATTCCCAATAGCTTCAACCATTTTACATCAAGAAATCGCAAGCTTGAAATAGACTTACCAGTGACATGCTGAGAGGCCCAAATATCTGAAGTGCAAAGACAAAGCCACACATGCTACACAGTCGGAACTTAATCCTCGCTGTGACAAGTTAGGACAATCTGACAAAGCTCTAAATAGAGTCCTTCATCCCAGAATTTTCTTTTTTTTTCCAACTGAGTATATATATTCTGCCTTGTATTATTTGTGTTCTTATTGTATGTTTACTATGAGCTGGGGGCTTCTTAAAAATGGAGACTCTATAATCCTAGGGATCTTTATGCTGTTTCAGCCCCTCACCCTGTTTCTGGATTGTAAAGCACAGATTAACATTTATAGAACCCTTTTTTCTTGTCCTATGCATTAGTCCAGTCCAGTGACGGCAAACCTTTTAGAGACTGAGTGCCCAAACTGCAACCTGAAACCCACTTATGTATCACAAAGTGGCAACATGCAATTAAACCTGAATACTGAGGTTTAAGGTTAGAAAAAACAGCTCATACATTAGCATTTTTACTTTAAAAGGAAAACCCAATAAGAGAGCTTTGAAATGAAAGCCTTTTATTGAAAGGTAAAAGTTTGCATTCGGAGTGCTTTTGCGCAATTAATGTGATCCTTGCTGTCCTACACATGCTGATAATTCATCAAACCTTCGTTCATACTTCATTAATTTGAGAGGAACACATGCAGCACTCAGGTCAACCATTAGTCTGTTTCTTTTATCAGATTTGATATAATTCAAAGCTGGAAACAGCTGCTCACAAGCACAAGATGATCCAAGCAAAGTAAGAAAAGCAATCCTAAGTGCTTTCATTGATTTAAAATTATTTGGCAGGGAATTCCACACTTAAGGATTTCATTTTCAGAGCTAGCAACTGTGCTGTCCTTTTTGTCCTCCCTTCATACTCAGTCCTTTCTATCTTCTCAAGAGTTGCATGCAGGTCATGGAATTTATTTTTCCAGACAGAGCTTCCTTGAAATTCCAATAGCTCCACCTCCAGATTTACAAAATCTATCCAGTAGAAACAGGAAAGAGTAAGTTCTTCAAATTTGGCTTCATCTGAAGTAAGAAAACAACAAGGTTGTCTCTATCTTATGGAACTATAAAAATTTGTTACTAAAATTCTGTTTTGCACCTGCTACAATGGTAGGAAACTCCTTTCAGGTTCCCCGATGGCTTGTAGGACTGTCTGCAAATGTATTTCTAAATGCAATTTTAGATTTGGAAAATTTTTCAGCTGCCCATGTTTAAGTGGCAAAAAACCTGCAGTTTTTGCTCAAATGTTTTGATATCACCCATCCTTTATGCCATTTTCCCTCTACCTTGTAGTTTTTTGTTCAGTACCTTGAGATGTAGCATAAAATCTGTAAAAACCATGAGATTGTTAAACCAGACCATATCAGTGAGCTGTGGATATTCCTGCCTTTTTTCATTCATAGGCAACTTTATTTCATCCAAGTAAGCTACCAATATCTTCAGGACTGTCTTTTCCTCAGCCACTGGACATTATTGTATATAAGTAAAGCATCACACCATGCTTGGACCTCATCAAGAAGTGCTTGAAACTGTCAAAAGTTAAGAGCATGAGCCATGATATAATTCACCATTTTTGTGACATCTTTGAGAATATGGTCTGATATCTTGCTGTTTTCCCTGGCACAATGAGCTTCTTGACGTATAATTCAATTAAACTGAATGATCCAGTCATTTTGCTTCTTTAACAAAGAACTGTGTGAAACAAGATGCTGCCCTCACCCTTAAGGTACCTGTCACAAGTGACTGAAACCACTTTTTCTGGTCTTGCATCTTACGATAAAAAAGCATCCATCACAGCATTATAGCTAACTATCCCTTGTGTTCGTCTAGGCAGAGACACCAGTTTCACCAGCTCTCCTTTCATGATGTCACCAAGAGCATAACACAAAAGTACTGCCAGGCTGCAGGCTTATTTACACCTGTGCTTTCATCCAGCCATCCAACCACATGGAGGAATAGGCTGTCTTTTGTAAGTCAGTGGTGAGCTGCTGGCTAGCATCACTTCCATGCACAGGACTCGATCTTTAACAGTATTTCTGCTAGGTGGCATCTCAGAGATATACTGTATAATTTTATCCTTGTTTGGGAAATTATGAAAAAGGGAATTACTCCCAGACACATGGCCATTTTGATAAAATCCCTATCAGAGAGGGCTTACTGTGTTTTGCTCTGCACAGGGAAATTTGAAAGATGGTAGCTGTCAGATGATTTGTTGTAGAAAGATAGCTGCAAAAACTGAGATATTGGGAATGACATTTCCTCAATTTCCCTTTAGAAATTCTTTCCATTCAGTTTCACCAAGTTGGGCAATACTTTTGTGGTTGGTGTCAAAGTGCCAACTGACACTTGGTGTGGAATACACAAAACGTTCATTACACAGAATACATAATGCTTTCCCTTTGCATCAGTTACTCAAAATGAGTCTGTTCAGGCCTCTTGGAGTGATCTTTCTCTACCTGTTTCCAGTTTTTGGTATTCATCACTTGGAGTTTACAAGAGCATAAAATTTTTAAAAAAGCACTCAATGTAAATCTATCCCTACATCAAAAATAGCAAATGCTACTAGTTAACACTAAAGAATTGAATATTCCCTGAATCAGCAATCTATGGCAGTGAGTCTAAGACTGGGTTCCTCTTAAATGTGCTGACCACCAGTACAAAGGGGCAATGTTCGGTTGATCACCAGCTTTTGGCCTGCTCTGAAAGAGCGCCTGAGAGCATTTTCTACCTTGTGGGGGCTTCTGCTGAAATCACAGCCACTCCAGACTTTATGAAAACATAGCATGTTTTCATAAAGTCTTTACAAACAACTAAATATGAAGCTGCAGAGTCAAATATTCCAGGGGTACAGCACAACATTAAGAGAATTTCAGTCTCCTCTTTAGAACATCTCTTTGCTAAATCTTAGATATTAAATTTCAAGTTTTCATAAGAAAGCTCAAACTAAAATCTTATGTTAATAAAAACAAATGTACTAAAATTCAAGTCAGTTCAAGCAAATCAAATATATACACAAATACACATATACAAATATTTACAAGTATGTATATACAAATATATATTTGTGTGTGTGTATGTGTGTATATATATATTTGGACTGTGAGTTTAAACATACAGTAAACAATGTATAAAAATAATATATAAATTATATATGCATACACACATCTAACTCCTTGGAAGTGCACTGACCAGTCATGAGAAACCTTGGATTAGTCACTGCTAATGAGCTGTGGTTGCTGATGTCATCACCTGGCGCCACTACTTCTTTCTGAGCATGCGCATGGCCCCGTGTGCACTATTATCGGACGCTCGGCTGTAAGCATGGTGCTGGGGTGATTTGGCTTGTATACTGACAGAGTTCTGTGTGCCTCCTGTGACACACGTGCCATGGGTTTGTCACCACTGGTGTAGTCACTCTCAGTCGTGTCTAACAGATTAGTAGCTGGGTTTTTTGCCCTTGTTTTTTTGAGTAAAGACAAATAGTCTTGGGCCACATATAAAATATATACTATATATAAGTAACAAAACTTCCTTTTAAAATATTTGTTAGTATAAAAACAACAACAAAGAGGACAGAAATGGTGGTCTGCAGGGCGGATATGCCTGCATGTTATTAACACATAGAACACTAAAGAGAGATGCAAGCATCACTCCCAGGTTACAGATGAGAAAGTTGAAGAATAGACAGATGATGTTTGCTCCTTGCCTGCACACTTTAAATGTAGCAGAGCCAACATTTGAACATAAGCATTTTTGGTCCTCAACTCATATTCTAAGATACCTTGCAATAATACCTTGCTGATAAATTTTTTCTTTAAAGAAAATGTTTTTGTTGAATAGTTGTTACTGAATAGACTAAATTGCAATAAGGGGAACAAAAGCTTTAAAATAGATGCCAATAATTAACCTGTGGAGGAAGACCTGGCCTGTATTGGTGTTCATTTGAACATGGCCTTTCTGCTTTATTTGTGCTAGCTGGCCAGCAGGACCCTGTCCCCAGGCTTTTGTGTTTGTGCTATTTATTTTTTTAAAAATCTAATATTTCCTCTGGACCAGATATAAGGCTTAACTATGACTACTTTTTACCTATTTTGCCTTGTTTTACTTCATTCATAAGTATATTTATTCTTACTTAAGGGAGATAAAAGAGTTAAAGAATCCTCAGACAACAGCCACTAGCAGATAAAAGAACTACCGCGCCCAGTGGAGTCTACTCCACGCTCAGCCTTAATAACTGATTAATAACGAATGGTTAGAGGTGTGGATACAGAGAGTATGACTGCGTTTTGTTTGTTCTCCACTGTCTTGGATGCTCTGCTGGATAGCTGGCATGACAAATTACATAGAAGCAATAGTAGTGGCCGGTGGAAAAGGAAAAGTCGTTTTGACAATGCTTTTACCAAATTCTGTCACGTGGGGTCTGTCACAAGTGATATAATCACATGAAAACACAAATTTTATCTGTGCACTGTTTGAACTCCAGGAGTTTACTCGATCATTACACACTCTTAGCTGAGCCAACGGAGCCACTTGCAATTCTGAGAGTCACAGCGGAAGAGCTCCTGAGCCAGAAGGGCTCCCAGCCTCCTGCCTCTCTTGCAGTGGTAGTGGGAGAGTAACCTATGCTCTTTTATCTTGCTAGAAGCTTAGTCAGAACAACCCAGTTCATAGTTCGTCTGACAAGAGCATATGTTTAAAGGGAAATCAATAGATCAGAAAGGCCTTGGTCAGGAAATAAGCAGAAGGCCAGCAGTGAGGTTAGGCCCCCACTTACCTGCAAACAGAGTGAGATAAGTGTCCACTCATAAGGAGGCCATAAGCTTTCTTCTCACCAGGGCTGGAGCCGCTGGTTAGGTGGGTTAAAAGTTGCTGACTGTGTTGCAATCCTATAAGGAAATGTGATTTTTAAAACACTCCAAATTCACAAAATGCATCATTTTATAAGTGTATGTCTTGTGTTTCAAAAGCTTTCATTACAAAAAATTCTCAAGGTACAGTTGTTTTTCCATAACTGACACAATTATTTCAAAAATGTGAACTATAATGTCCAATCTATTAATTAGATTAAAAGTACACAGGAAACATACAGCAGATAAGAAATAGACATTGAATATGTTTTGCAGGTAGTCCTGAGCTTTCCTTTTCTTAATAACTGTGTAACTTCTATTTGTGCATTTTTCTCTGGGCAAATTTCTGTAATGAAATTGGCCATGTGTCAGAGTTTAGTGACACTTCAGAAAGCAGGGCACTTAGTTACCTAGACACCAACAGGGCCCAGTTTAAATCTCAACATATTATGTATAGCACTAAAATATGCTTAATAGATTTATCTGAACAATAAAATAGTGAGTGATTGTAATTAGCAGTGAGTAATAGTTACCATTAATAATTATAGTTATTACTTAATTGATTTTATCACTCAATGTGCCCACCTCACATTTATGCTTCATTTTAAAGTATAGGGTTAGATTTGTAGAAGCAAGTAATCATGATAATCATAGTAAAACCCTGTCTTGGAGGATTTCATTATACCATACAGTAGGTACCCTGCTGCTCAGATAATACACCATCTGCATATTAACATATAGAGCCCATTTCATCTAACTTTTTTTTTTTTTTTTTGGTTTTTCTCCGGTACCGGGAACCGAACTCACGACGTTGCGCTTGCCAGGCAGGCGCTTTGCCGCTGAGCTAAATCCCCAGACCCCCATTTCATCTAACTTAGTCTAGTATAAAGGTACTAGCTCTGTTGCTCACTAAAATGTTTCTACTTATTTCCTCTTTTTTAAACAGTATTTACAATATCATTTTGAAGATCTGGTATTCAGCTATAGAATCAAAAGAAATTGTTTCAACAAAGTATTGTGCTGGCCCTCCCCACCCCCAGCAAAAAGAAAAGAAGAAAAGAAGGGCGGAGAGGGGATGGAGGGAAGCAAACCAAATGTTTAATAGATTACAAGTTTAATAAGTGACAGCATGTTTGCTCTTTAGGATACAGTGTACCCATGAAATAGAATTATTTTTAAAATAGTTAGACCTGTATGTTTGTTTTAAAAGAATGAGATGCTATTGTTGAATAAAAAGAAAATATAAACATATTGTCAAGTAATATATGACATATACTGTATCCCATTTTTTTGGCAATGAAAGAGACAGAGGCAAAACGAGAGACAGAGGGAGAGAGAGAGGAGGAAGAGGAAGGGAGAAGGAAGGAAGGTAGGAGGGGTGGGTGTGAGTGAAGAAGAGAAGGAGCCAGCAAAGGGTGAGCACCAGGCTGGTGAAGGAAGCTTTGTCTGTATTTGCAGCTGTTCCCATTGCTTGCATTACTACATGAGCCCTGCCTCCTACTGAATCAGTGGTGGGATTAGATTTTCATCTGAATTTGAACCCAGACTCAAGGGGGATCTGAGAATCTGTTCTTGGCCAGGGGAGACAGAATGATTAACTGTAATGTTGTGTCCTGAATGGGACCCTTAAACAGAAGGGCTTTGGAGAAAAACATAAAATTCAGATAAATTGTGGAGGTTAGTTAATAGCAATAGTTCTGGTTTCCGAGTTGTGACACATGTACCATCATAATACAAGACGTTACCCACAGAGGAAACTGGGTGTGGGCTGTACAGGAACTCTATGCTTGAAGTGTTTCTGTAAATCGAAACTCATTCTAAAATGTTCAAACATTTATTCAAAGATGAAAGATGTTAAAGATATCAAACTCTCTACCACATCGAATAAATAAAACATATTAAAGAGTTTTCAGGCTTTTAGAATTAGCTCATTTTATTGTTAGTGCAATACACTTCAAGAAAGACTGATGTGCAAAATTGTAATAAAGATTGGTCAGGAAAGTTGCCTTTTAAATGCTTTTTTGTTTGCTTTATAAAAGAATTCACCCAAGTTTCTCAAACAATAAGCTTCTGTATTGAACAGTGAGTTACTTACTTTCCCAGATGCAGCTATTTTTTACAAGTAATTTATGCCCAGAGCACTGCTTTCTTAACAGGCTATTTCTAGATTTAGGCTTTTAACCCTTTTTCCTTTTGCAAACATTTGTTATTTAAAGTAAGCAAGTTATTAGAAAAGTTTTAAGAATATATAAATCTTCAAACAAACTGACATTCTTATTGTGGAAAGTCTTTTATTTTTAGTGACTGAGTTTTTCTTTTATACATATGAAAATACCTATACTAGTCCAGGATTTCCACTGTTTAGTGAAATGTCCTATGTTAAGTCTGCTCCTTAAGCCATAGGATTTACCAAACAAGGAATTATGGTAGAAACATTACAAATTGAGGGCTTTAAATATATAAATTGGTAAGAAGGCAGGATCTGAATTCATTTGAAAAATAGCAAATTTAAATGGATTCCCTGCTGAAAAAAAATAATAAGACTTCATGGTCAGAGGGTCATTTCATTTCAACATTCTTAGCTGACACCAATTTTTAAATCATTTTTCCTTTCCTCTGGTCATTGGAAGACACCGTTAGCATTTCAGTCATTACGCAGTTCCATTTGACTTTAGTCTTTGGAGCAAAATGTGATCCAGGGAAGGTCTATAAGAAGGTTTCCTGAGCGGTTATTTCCTTATTTTTAACAGCTATTTCTTCCTGGGGTTTCTCCTATAAAAAGCATAATCCAGTCATTGCTCACAGCAGTAACTATATGTTCACAGAGCTTTCAAAGAGCATGCTGTATTTTCTGAGGCGCTTAGAATTAGGTCACACACACAAGAATCTGCCGCTCCAATGTTCAGACAAGAGCCGTCCAAACCATTTTTTTTTAAAGAAAATTCTTCCCTCCATTAAAACACAGTCTCTTTCACTGGGAGCCTGGCATCCTAGTGGCCTAGCTCTTTCTCCTCAACCATGCAAGTCAAGGAAGATGTCACTATTGTCCTGGTTTTATAGGAGATGGGACATCTCAGGGAGGTCACTGAGCTCATAATGGCTAGATCTAGAGTTCTAAACTTTCTAACATTAAGCTTTGGATCACGGATGCTACAGCCTTCTGGTTTAGCAACATGGAATCTCAGCTCTAAATACAGACTTCTTTCCATCATGTAGGAGCTGAGTCCAGCTTCCTGTGGAGGAGGATTACTTCTGCCCAAAACTAGTACACTAACTGTAAAATGTTATCATTTTAGTGAATATTTACCTAGATCATTTTTTACTTTTACTTGACGGTACTGTCTAAGGTCTTCCAGTGTGAAAGGCTGAAACTCTTTTATCAAAACTGCAGCCTACCTTTCCAGGGTCTCTCCAGTCTCCCAACATAATCCTACGTTCCTTTGTGTCTTCTCTGTCCTCTTAGTCAAAGTTCCATGGCCTGGAGCTAGCATTGCTCTAAATCTTCTCATACAATATAGTCTAGAATAGTCCATGACTTCCATTGAGTCTTATTTTCCTTTTCATTGTTTGAACTCAGAGTTTTTGCTTTTTTAAAAAAAAAAAATTCATTTTATCCTGCAGACTTTAAAATTGGTCACCTTCTTAGCTCCTCACATCCCCTGCTCATTCCCATCTTGCCTGTCACTGTGACTAGTTTACTCTGCCATCTCTACACCCCTTGTACTTTCTGGGTCAGTGGCAGGGCAGGGTACATGTAAACAGGACGGTTACAGTTTGCTATTTTGAGCCTATTGAGAATAACCAAAAGGGCTTCCCTTCCAGATTAAAAGGGATTGAGGTGGGAGATAATGACATACAGCAAGTGCAGAAAGTGAAGCTATTTCATGAAACAGTATCTTGCTTATCTTCATGGTTCAAATTGTTTCTATTTCTTTGTGTGTACAGTTTTATACTCAGCCAAATCCAGAGTCAATACTATAGTTTGTGGACACTCCATACCCTATATACTTTTCTCTCACTCTGTCATTATCTTTTTTTTTTCCTAGTTAATACTGGGCTTTATTCTTTGCATTTTTACCAGGGAAATAAAAGGGATACTACATTTTTACCAGACAAATAAAATGGATGCTACCTTTTTACGTGTCAGTCAATCTATTTATTTGCATCACCCCTTTTTCAAAAAGGTGCTGGTAAGCGCTTTCTGTTAAAAAAGAAAAAAAATCTCATTTATATTTTATATGCAGGGTAAAGATTAAAAAAAGAGACCAGAAATCACATGAAAAGAGATGGAACAAAGAAGATAGTACTTAGGGAAGAACATTATTTTAACCAAGCATAAAATTTTCTGTGTTGATTTTCACCAAGTAAAATAGAAAAATAAGCTGATACTCTACACAGCTTAGTTTAATAAAAGAAACCACAGTGAACTGTCAGAAGAGACTACCTTTCTCAATGTCCTATTTTATCGAGAAATCATATGGGCTGTTATACTAAATACATGACATAAACAATGTCTTCAGTACTGTTTTCCTAGGGAAAAACCGTACTTTGTAAATTAAATTTATTATCATGTTATAAGATTCTAAAGTAACTTCAGAGAATACAAAAGACAGAGTGAAGATAAACCATATCATTTGGCAAATGAGACTATCTGAAATTTTTCTTCTTTTGACTTATCTATATTTTCTAATTTATCTACAACGAGTATGAATTACTGCTACAAGGAAAAAAGTAAAGTTTAAGGATAGTAAATAAATGCATCTTATGAAGTTTTAAGCAACACTAATGTTTGATGAGAGCTGGGAGTGTGGTCATGAATCTTATTCCAAGGAAAGCGTTTTTCGGAGGGTCAAAGCATTCTAAACCAAGCAGTGTACACAGGAGTGCTCTGCTAAGCACTAGGTCACATGAAGATGCTCCATTCTGCTTAGACGGCCTCTCACGTACCATTTATCACAACTGTGTTTCTCAAGCAGCAGTTGGTCTGAGGTTTAACTTATGTCATTGCCAAAATGTCAGGAGTCTGTCTTATAGAGAAGGTGACTGACACGCTGTATGCTACACATAGTTAAGAAATTAGGCTAACACGACACTGGAAAGTCTGAGAGCTGCTGATTTGATTTATCTTCCAAACTGGGGCTGCTCTAGCACCTGCAGACAGTGGCAGTGAGGAAAATGTTCGCTTCAGAGCCAAACTCATTTCAAACTAACGAAAAGCTTTAAATTGGTCTCAAAGCTTGAACAAATATTCAGCTATATCTGTTGTTCTACACCAAAACACTGGTTAAATATTTTTGTTCTGAACATGTTAAACGACAACACGCACTTTAAATCAAATATTTAACCACTCCTTAACAATCATAGTAAAAATATTTTTGTCTCAAGAAAAGAAAAGCTGGTGGTTCCCCGTGAGTAACCACCCTACTCTAGTAAATAACCGTACTCTATTAAAAATGATTAACTGTGGCTCACACTATTATATCTGTTTATATAAAAGCCTTTAACAGTGTGCACAGCTATGGCATTACTTCTATATTTAACATATTTGGTTAGAAACTTCCTTGATAGGATAATTTAGATATTAAGGAAATTATACTGGGTCAAAAAACCAAACTCAGAAGGTTACATATTGTATGATGCCATTTATACAAACTTCTCAAAAATGACAAAATTATACCCATGGAGTGCAGATTAGTAGTTGCCAAAGTTTGGGAAGGTTAGGAGGCAGGGAAGCTTTGTGGTGCTGGAACAATTTTGTGTCTTGACTGTAGTGATGGCAACAGAACTCATTTGTGTGACAAAATTGCAAATACACACACACACACACACACATACACACACACACGCCCCTGCACACATGAAAACATATAATTCTGATGATAACAGGAGTAGGCTAGTTGATTGTACCATTTCTTGGTGCCAATATTTTGCTATAGTTATCTAAAATATTTTTGCTGGAGGAAACTAGGAAAGAGAATATGGGATCTCTGCATTATTTTACTAGTTCCTCGAAATTCATAACCAATTTAAGATGAAATGTTAACAAAACAGTAAAATCTTTACTGGACTTGCAGAAAGGCTCACAGAGTTTATATTTTAGCATTATCTTTTATAGAGAATCTTTCTAGATGTTGCAAGTCTTAACCTCTAGGAACACAGGTTGCTTGGGAGATCTGGTTTGGCTTCTCACATCTCAAAGTTGAATATTTATGGAGCACCTGGGGACTTGGAGATCCCATGTAACTGAAAGCCATGTCCAGGTCACTTTGCTGTTTCCTTCTAGCTGACCTTTCCTCTGGTTTCTTGTAATGCTGTCCTATGCCATGCAAATACACTACTTCTTCTTTGCTGGAATGAATGTAGCTCTTCTAAAGATCCAGCTGACTTCCAGGTGAAAGGGCTTCATGGTAGATGTTGGCAGGTTTGCTATTTAATAGAGAGTTAACCCACTTCTCCCAGGTCCACAGCAATTACATCTCTCAGCTGGGAGGCACACAGTCTTTGGGGTCACCATCTCCTCTCTTTTGCTTGCTGCTATATTCCCGGTAGGCTCTGCACATAAGAACATTAGTAAACATTGCCGGGGAAATGACTGAATGGGTTACTTGTATTTGTGTAATTGGCATGCACACGTTTGTGGAATTGAACTGGTGAGTGTGACAGGGACAAACTGCATTAATGTGTCGGTCTTGGAGCCTTTTATTTGGTGCCTTGTCTGTGTGTGCTCGCGGGTGTGTGGGTGTGTTACTGACCAGCGTTTGGTGCTTAGCTGTTTTCTTTCTCCAGGGTGGAAGTCTGGGTGTTGCCTCTCCAGCTCCTAGATATTTTTGTGGACAGTGAGAGAGAGGAAGAGAGAGGAGAGAAAGAGACAAGGAGAGGTACGAAGGGACGAGAAGAGAGAGGAGGGGCAAGAGAGGAAAGAACAACTATTTGGGGCAAAAAAGTGACAGGGGTTTCCAGGTGCTGGGAGCTAGAAGAAGAAATCCTCCTTGTCTCCACTCGGCTTCCCTTTGCATGATTGAGGCAAGAAGCTGAAGCTTGTTTTCTGTAAGGCTGACACCACTTTATGCTTTTATTCTACTCTTTACTACTTCCAGAGCAGATATTAATTATGTTTCAATATATTTAATATTGACATTCTAAAAAAATCTCCACTTTTCATCTAAAAGTACATCTTCAAAAGCCTCTAAATTCAAGTTTTCATCTAAAATTTAAACAGTTTAATTTCCTTCTCTTCTTTCATCTTTGTCTTTTAGGGCCATATTTTCTTGTATTCTGACCATGAATACAAACCTTCTAAAATATATTTCTTCTTTCTGCAATAACATGCTTATACATGATATGTACTTACAAGTGTGTAGAAATGATTAAAAGGATTTAGAAAAGTTTTGATTTGGGGTTAGAGGAGTCAAAGGAGAAATTTCATGTATTGATCTCCATAAACTTCTTTATTGCTTGAGTTTTTTGCAGTAATAATTGGTATATTTACTTATAATATATTGAATAAAATAATAAAGGCAATAGCAATAAAATCTAGATAAGGAAACACGTTTGGTTCACCATCTTAGCTTTCAGTCTTCATCAGTGTAATTTTAGATTTTACAAGATTATTCTCATGTGTACCTTAATATTTACCATTTCTGCTTTAACTTAATCAACAAGGCTGAATTTGCGCCACATTATTTTTGTTCTCAAGATTTTAGCTGATCTCATGGTTGAAGCATATCTTGCATTACTTATTTTTCCTAGAAGAGAGTATGTGTTTCCTATTTCCTGAGCCCTTGTATGTTTGAAAAGTCTTTCTACTGTAGTCATTCATAAAAGACCGCAGATCTATCTGTTCGCTAAATCCTTAAGCCACAGGTTTTTACCTGAAACATTCTGTGTGTGTTGATTTATTAAATTCTGTTACTGAGAATTTAATCAGTGGAGAACCTCACCACCTTGTTTTTGTTTATAATAAATACTAAATCCTTCTGCAGAATCAAGCTGGGAAAGAATAATATTTACTTCTGTATTTATTTGTTTTCTTGAGCATGATGGTCTTTTATAAACTACACACCCTAGTCTTTAGTTTTTGAAAGCTTGTACTCTCTGTATTTTTGATGAATGTTTTTTGTTCTATTTTCTCCTCTGATTTAGTAATTAATACTGTTGAGGCTCAGAACATGATATCCAAAGTAAGGTCCTGCGGTATCCTGCATACTTTGAACTAAAAGGCATTGGATTGGAAGGGTCTCTGATGCAAAATCACGTTCTAACCTTCTATCCTCCTGCCTGCACCCCTCATTCTCTGCAGAAGCAAGTCGTAGAAACCAGAATTCCTCTTTCTGTAAGAACTAATCGCTCTTTCTGCCAAAGGAAGCCATAAGCCTAAAAGAGTGCTCTACCTTTCATTCCCCCTTGCTTTTCTGTGTAGAAACTAGCTATGAAAAGATCCTCTGATGTACTTTGCCTCATGGTAGGTTATAAGTCCTTCATCCCGGAGTCCAGCCAAAAGGTCTTGCTGGGCTTCCCCTTCATCAGATTACTATTAGATCACGCCCTTCTTCCCATCACATTTCTACAGAGCTGTGAACACTTCACTAATCCTAAGTATCAATACCTCTCAGTTGATGAGCCTTTAATCTGAAGGCAACCATGGCATGTAAAACTTTGATTTA